TTCATGTTAAATGTCTCAAGCTCACTTAGTGTTGTAGCTCTTAATTTATTATGTTTTGAGCTCTCTCTCCCTCGTTCTCCCTGCTTTGACCCTTCGAGGTCACACAAGCAATTCTTTTTTTAAACGCATGATTAATTTCTCAGTAGGGCGACGGGCTAATGCATTATGAAGAAAGTGAAATGTATTCCAAAGGGGCTAATAGCGCTATTGTATTCCAATAAGCCTTTTCCTGCTTCGCATGGTTTAGACATGCTCCGCGTTTGATAACATGTCAGCGACATCTCTCTCAGCTTGGAGAAAGTTGTGAATAATTACGTCTCTTTCTAAAAAAAAACGTTCATTATTGGTTAAAAACACAGGGATTTTGCCAGTTTAATTTTGTTTAAGAGATGTCAATGCAGCCACAAGCGTAGTTCGTTAGGTATTTATTAAGATACAAAAATCGACGTTACTCGGAGTTTGAAACTTCCGAGCAATACAACACTTCAATCCATTTATAAAAAATTAAAAAAACACTGTAAACAACTCTGTGTTAATTTCTTACATTTCAATTAAAAACTTTATTTAAATCGCCTAAGCTTCTAAACCTTTACTCTACCTGCTTTTTGTGACGTGGGCTATTATCATTTCCTCTCATCGCTAGTGTGACGTCACTGCCTTCAATCGCTGCGGCCCGTGCGTGGCTCGCGCCTGCAGAGCCCCCGCCGCCTCCCCCTCCTCTCTTGTCCCTTCTCAGCTATAGTGGTCCCGTGGCGTCCGTCCGCGAGACAAAAGCACGCGCAGTGACAACCTAAATTGGTTTGAAAAGGAGCAGATGGGGCTCGTGCTCTCTACTGTGTCGCTTTTACGAACACACACACACCCACACACACACACAGACACACACACACACACACACACACACACACACACACACACACACACACACACACACACACACACATATGCACGCACGCACAGATTTGTGTCATGTTTATCAAGATGCTATTGAAAACAGATTGGGCCAGAATAAATTACAGCAGTCTCAATATCCAACAGTCTTTTAAAAGGATTGAGAATTGATTAGATGGATACACTTAACAATTACTAATAATAATTCCAAAAAAGAAGTTGAATCAAAAAGTTATTGTCTTTGTGCATTTTATTGCGTTTATAAATAATTTAGAGAACAAAAATGGACTGGAAAAGGACTGTTCTGACACAAATAATGTATTTACATTACTAAAGGGTTAACAAATATATATATATATATATATATATATATATTGTTAAACATGCAGCATTAACTATAGCTTGTGTACAAATATGTTTATGTAGAGATCAGAATGAAGTCAAGTACACTATATAGCCACTACCAGTTGCTTTATATTTCTGCCCCATGTCTATTGTTACCTTTAATCTGAATGCATGCAGGCCTATATGCCAAAGTTCTTTTAACCACCTAAACACTGAACCCTTACAGCCCATGACAAGGGTCTGCGTGTGTAACATTTGAATATTAGGTCCTGTTATATCAGCCATTGCAAGAAATTGTTTAGTAAGTAATCTTCATCCAATACATGAAACATGAGCCAAAGAAGAACAAGTCATAAAAACAACTTTCTTAAGTTGTTTTAATTAAAGAGGACAATCAGTATTTGGGACAACATTTCCCTTCATCCCCATGCAGAGTTAAATTAGATCTTGTCTTGCAATGCAGACGTTTACTAACGACTATGAGGCAGCTCTTATCTGGGTTATGGACTTAATATTTAGGTCTGCACTCCATATCTGTAATTTTCCTGCATATTTCTAGTGGAAGGAGTAATTGAGCAGCCATGCCTGGTCTAAGAGCTTGGAGCAGGGCCGTAGGAATTCCCAGGCCCTCTGATGCAGTACTGTGGTCGCACCCCCATGTTTGTCCCGACGCACCGTCACATGTGTTGAATACGAAGATGTGAGTATAGTCTTCCATATTCTGTCTGCTGTCTTTGGCACACTGCATCTGTGTTTAAAAACGACATAATTTCCGATGCCAATCTCCTCTTTCAGCAGTTTCTCGGTGAACACTTTGCATCTCACAAATTGTGTTTATCAAAAGTCAGTTGTTTTCCAGAAATGCCAAAGATGCCCCCTAAAAGTGTGCAGTCTAGCACCATCATACAATTGGATGGCAAAGCTTGTATTGTAGTTATGACTGGTTTGGAGCCATGTGCAGTGTCAAACACATTTTTTATAAATATTCATTAAGTGACTTATAAAGCAATTTAGCTAAAAATTATGTTAATGTTGTATTGGGTCTGCTTATAGTGAAGGTCGGAGGACAACCATAGACTGTAAGAGGAGAACATGTAAAGTTACCATCTAATTTCCTGCACAATCAGATGTGTATAAAGTGTCTACATTACATTTTTAATTTTTTTAGATGTAACTTTTATTCACCATTCAGTACGGTATTGCTACGGGAGCAGGTTGGGGCTAGATGCCCGAGGACACTTCGACATGTTGACTGCAGGGAGTCGAAACACCGACCTTCCGACTGAAATACGCTATTTCACCCCTTACGCTTTTTCAGCATGCTCGTGCATCTCTCAGTCCGTCTATGTTGCTACTTTGACTTTTTCAGCTCGTGACGTGAGTATCAGTTAGCAAGATATCTTTTAGCTGTTTTTCAACTGAACCAAGCAAGAATAAAGTGTGTGGAAGTGCCTACGAGTGTGTCCTGTATGGTGGGCTGAACTCGCGCTACACGCCAATCAAACACGAGGCAGGTGCGTGGTAGAGTGAGAGAGAGAGAGGGGGAGAGAGACTGCGAGATATACTGCGAGAGAGAGAGAGTCGGATTAGTACAGCGCGTGGAGTCTCTGAGAAGCGAATAAAGCCGGCGCGAGCGTCGCAGTTTACTCACATCTCACGAGCTGCTCCTCAGTAGACAGTTGGAGACAGAAACCGGTACCGCATCCCGGATATATATCAGTACAATTCGCGTGATAAAAATGAGTGTTTTAAAGCTGCGTAGGATAAATCGATTTCTCTTGTAACGGGGAGACTTTTTTTGGATACGCTGTGACAGTTTTTGGGATTCTCGGGAGTCAGAGGTAAGGACTGCTCATCGATTTATGTCTGTAAAGTTAGCTTAAATAGTTGGTTAAAATGAGCGTACTTAACATCATCTCTCTGGGACAGAAAACATGCTTTTAAAAAATATTTATTCGATTAAAATGCTTGAGAAGTTGAGAGTGGATTTTTTCAAATGCCGTCCATTTAAATTAATATGGGCCCGTTGCATCGTCAAGTGTTTATATGTTGTTATCTGTATTATTTGTAGGCTATTATTATTATTATTATTATTATTGTATTTTAGTTATAACATGAACAAACCTTTACCGTTAATATTGTTCAATAGACTAACATAATGCCTGATTTACCGATAAGTCTGCTGCTTTAATAAAGGCCTACTGTACTTGGCGAGTAAACTTGTGCTTCAATAAAATTACACACATTTAAGTCGTTAAATGTTGAGTTATTTGAAGCTTAACTCTTTAGTCATATTGTTAATTGCTAAATAATTGTACAGGCTTTTGCTATTTCTCGTTAATAGCAAAAACGTTAAATATAAACATATTACAATCCAATTCAAAACGAAACCTGTCTTTAATATAACCACATTTCAGTTCGTTTTTATTATTTGGAATTGTAGTTTTCCTTAATGTAATTTTCAATTTAATTCGTTATAAATAGCAGCATCTTATTTGTGTTTTTAGTTTTTAAATCATTACACATTTCATGCACATAAATATCACGTGCTTTAGGTAATTTCAAAACTGTTAATTTCATAAGACTTTAATAATGAAGTAAAAAAAAAAAGTGGTTTTGATGTCAGAGGACATTTCCAGTAAAACATTTATTTCGCAATAAATGTCCTGCCATTTTCGTGATACTGCTTTAAAATATATCTAAATAAATCATATGGATAAAAAAGCGAAGGAATGCAGTATTTAGATAGGAAGAAAGGTCCAAAGCCTACTTTCCTAAATGAAGTTGACGTGACAAAACTGTAGGGTTTTATTACCTTAAAATGATTTATATGGGCAGTGTATGTTTCCTGTATCCTATTAACATGTTTAGGTTACTCCGCTTTCTAGATGGAGGATATTTCAAAATGTAAAAACACATTTAAATTAATTGAAATGTAATGTATTAATTAAATTAATGTATGCCTATTTGTTTGTGTAGGAATATGGATAATACTACTTTAACTGCAACCATTATGTTGCAAGCTTGTGTTTTCATAGTTAGTTTATTGTTTAAAACATACACAGGCAAATACACTCATTACTTTTACATATATAAATGCTTCTGAGAATGTATTTCTTTAGTTAAATAAATGTAATTGATTTCCATTAGTTGATTATTACAAACTGTTGTGTTTGCTGTTTACCTAACATTCAACTTAGTTTCACAGATTCATTCAGTATCTTTATCCAGTTCTTTTTTTCTGTGCCCTCAATCATTTGTTGTTGTAGTTAAGAAAACAAATCAATTGTTATTATATTTTGTAATCACTTATTTGACATTTCAAAAATGTGTTCAGTTCTGTAAAGATCGAAAGACAAACAACGTTTGCTGTTTTTCTGTAAGATTGGGTAACAGAAGCTTTTCATTGAAATGCATTTCATTTCAAATAATACACATTCTTTTTAATATGCACTTGTTCACACATCATCAGCTTGTTTCTGGGCACACCTACGTGGTAGAATTAGTGTTTCTTATAATACAAAATACTTAGATTAATTTCATATTTTTGTAATACAGGGAGATAGAATGTGTCTGTAAAGAAATAAGAGGATTTGTATGTGGTTAAAAAAATCAACAAATGTTTTCCTTCTTCCTTTCTTTTTGAATGCAGGTCTTTCTACACACCGTTTTCCTCACAGTATGGATAAGACCCATCTTTCGAGCACTAATGACATCATAATGACAAGCTCCACAGGCTCCTACCAGCAAGAACCCCTGACACCACCCAGATCCGCCCATCTCCACTCCTCATCCTCCTCTTTATCTTCTCCCTCGCCGTCCTCATCCTCCCCACCCATGAAGCCAAACCAAGTTGGCCAGGTCATCCTGTATGGCGTTCCCATCGTATCGCTGGTTATCGATCACAACGAGAGACTTTGCCTGGCTCAGATTTCCAACACACTCCTGAAGAACTATAGTTATAATGAGATTCACAATCGGCGCGTGGCGCTGGGCATCACCTGCGTCCAGTGCACTCCGGTTCAGTTGGAGATCCTCCGTCGGGCCGGCGCCATGCCCATCTCATCGCGGCGTTGTGGTATGATCACCAAGCGTGAAGCCGAGCGCCTCTGCAAGTCCTTCCTGGGAGAGAACGCACCGCCGAAACTGCCCGACAACTTCTCCTTCGATGTGACACATGAGTGCGCCTGGGGTAGCCGAGGTAACTTCATCCCGGCACGCTACAACAGCTCCAGGGCAAAATGCATCAAGTGCTCGCTTTGCAACATGTACTTCTCCCCGAATAAGTTCATTTTCCATTCCCACCGCACGCCGGAAGCCAAATACACCCAGCCCGACGCCGCCAACTTCAACTCCTGGCGTCGACACCTCAAACTCTCTGACAAAATCCCAGCTGATGAGTTAATCTTCGCATGGGAAGACGTCAAAGCTATGTTCAACGGAGGCAGCCGGAAAAGAGCGCTGCCGTCTTCGTCCCATTGTTCCTCCATGGGGCCCATGAAGAATCTCGCAGGTTCCGTTCACATGATGGGGTCTGACCTGGGTGCTCAGAAGAGATCCCGCTTTGACGACGATGATGATCTGGATGGAGGCAATCTGTCTCCCCGTAAGACCTCACGTAGCTACCCAGTCATCCCCGTCCCGAGCAAAGGCTTCGGCATGCTGCAGAAGTTCCCTCCCACGTCGCTCTTCCCTTCGCCTTACCCCTTCCCAGCATTCGGTCTCTGCCAGCAGAAAAAAGATGACAGTGATGTTTCAGGTGTGCAGAAAGGATCAGGGTTGTCAGGTCTGTTATGGCCCGGCCGCAAAGACACTTTTTATCCTCCTTTCTGCATGTTTTGGCCACCAAGAGCGGCGGGAGGAATCCCTGTCCCTACTTACCTCCAGCCTCAGCCCAGCGCCCTCTCCTCCCTGGCAGACAACCCCTCTCTCAGGCAGGCCTTTTTGGATCTCTCAGACCACAGCGAGCCTGGAGTAGTAGCTGGCAACGGAAATAGTGTCAATGCAACCATGGCCCCCGGGACTGCCACAGCCAGACCCGGGCTGTTTGACCCAGAGTGTACAACAGTAACCCCTGACCTCCGCCCTGTGACCTCAGAAGGCTGGCTCAAACTTCTGGACACCCCAGCCCTCCAAAGCAGGAAGCCCAGCTACGGCTCAGCCTTCAGGCCCGTCATTAAGGACGCTGAGAGCATCGCTAAGCTCCACAGCAACGGGGGAACAGATGAGGACTTCGTAGTGGCCAGGTCTGAACGCCACCAACGGCTTTCGCCCAGCAGCAGCTGTAGTTACGGAAGTGAAAGTGGAGGCGATGTAGAGGCGGAGGGAGTGGAGAGTGAGGAGGAGGGGGAAGTGGATGTGGAGTCGTCAAAGCAGGAAGACGAGGAGGAGGAAGGGGGATTCACAAGCAGGCTTCCACAGACTCAAACCAACCTGTACCACCCTGCGCTAAGCGACAGCCATGGAGAGGAGAGGGGGAAGGAGAGAGGGAGTGGCGCTGTGTACACCAGCACCTCCCCTCCCTCCTCCTCAGACCCCATTCGGCAGGGGTCCCCCAGCCTGCCAGCATCCCCTTCAGCCAGCCTGCCTCTCTCCGGCTCCACCCCGCCTCACCGAGAGGACCCTGCTTACAAAAACGTAAATATCCCCGCAGGCCACTTTAGCTAATTATTATTTAAATGGTGCCGCAGTCAGGCAGCGATGTGATCTGCATAAGCAGATTGATAGACCGGTTTCTCCCTGAAGAAATTGAAACAGTCACCCCAACTCTGATCCGGGCTAATAGGCCCAGGTGTGGGTTGTTTAATGGCCACGGTGTGTTTGTTCTCCCTCTGTCACCCCAGCCTGTTAGGGCAACTCTAATCTTTAACCTGCCGACTCCCACATTAACCAGGCCTCTGAGGGAGAGAAAGAGAGGGGGGGAGGGGAGAGTTATGAGGAGCATTTTAAACAGAACAGTCTAATTATTCATTGTGTAACATCAATGGATAGGGAACAACCTTACTCTCCAAATTAGATCATTACAAAGGGATGAAACCCATGGGCTGATTAAAAAGGAGATAGCATTTGTCAAGAAATGATTTAAATGTTTGCACAAATTAAATCCATATTAATAAAACATTTGCAGGTCTTTAGATAAAAAAAGGAAACCCATGTTTATGAACACTATTCATCTCATCAACACATCTAGTTTACAAAGAAATGCTTTTACTATAGGAAGTATATCCTGCTTTGATGCCATTGAAGTATCTTTTGCATAACGTGTGTATGAAATTCTTACTGACTGCTTTTCTTTCAGGTTCACAAAAATAGAGATGAAGGACTACCTGTGTACGCGACCAAAGACAACTCCAGCCTTTCTGGTGAGCATTTAATCTGTTTTTTAAACCTTTCTTTTTAAAACTACACAATTTTCTTTTTTAAGTCCATAATGGAAGATTATTTATATTGAATACAATATTAAGTATTTCTTCCTTGACATGATGCAGTCGTTCCCATCTGTTTCGTGCAATTCCCCCTTTTGAGTCTCTCTCAAAAGTAAAAATACATTAAAAGCAAAAAACACTTTCTCTTTCTCAAACAAAAAGCCCTACAATTTGCATGGGATGCTTGACGCTACTTCTTTCACCCTACAGTTGTTTTACAATGTCTTGGTTTCATCAAATGTTTGAACAGGTTCATCAAATAGCATCACCCAGTCTATTTCAGCAAGCTGTTACACGCTCTCTGCCGTATTATAGCATCTTTGTTTCCTTTAGTGTCTGAGTGAGTGGTTTTATTGTTCCTCCCTGCGAGGCTCATATTCCTGTGACGTTTCATTTGCTCCTCTCATCTCACACTCTGACCCTTTCGCGGAGTAGAATGTTTTGTGGCCCACACGCACAGGACACACACCATGCGCACACTTAGTTATCTCCATGTGTCCGGATAACCAGCTCAACCAATGGGCCTTACTGACACGCTCTCCCCTCTCTGTCTGTCTCTCCGTCTCATTTTCTCTCAGATGAAAACAAAGAGCAGAGTAGTTTCTTTGTGCCAGAGAGTGAGACAGCAGCGCCCGACTACTGGAGGGAAAGTTCAGGTATGATTTATTTTTATTTTTTTAGTAGCAGATCAAATGCGGGGTTAAAACAACAACCATTGTTTTAAAACAACATGCTAGTGCTCCTGAAAGAACCATTATTAGTGCAATTTCAATCTCAAGTAGCAGAGAAAATCTCAAATCTTTATTCATCCTTAGATGCAATCAAACATTCACAAAAGGAAATACAATTAACAACATCTTAACAGCTTGGGCCTGTAAATGGAAGTAGGCAAATTAGACCTATACATCTCTTTATCTACAGAGCAGAAATGTCATTTATTTAATTGTGTAAATCCAAAATTAAAAGACATTGTATTTTTTAAGTACATACATTTCAAAACACACAATGTTGACGCATTTGCACCGTGTAAAATGTCTATACAATACAAAAATAATGCTGATTAAAAAACATGATTTTATATAAGTTTCTTCTTATGACCCAGATGGGACTCGAAATACTTAAAGCAGTGAGAGAAAGCTCCTCCGTTCTACAGCTTCATCCACCTCAATCTCCTCCTCCACCTCCTCCTCCTCCTCCTCCTCCACTCACACAGGATTTAAGGGATTCATATAAATACACAGGAAAAGAAAAGCTGCTTCCGCCGCCGCTCTGCCACGGCTGCTCTCTTTAGCGGCGCTGTCGCCACGGCTGTTACTCTTAGGGGGGCCGTTATAGTTCAACAAGAAAACATCAGCTCGGAGATAAGCAGCCGCGGTAGCAATCTCCATCCAAACCCATATCGCCACCGACATAATTGCCTTTTTTTCCCCCTCCTCAGCGCAAAAAAACCCCTTTCCCGTTTGAAAAAGATCACAGCTTATTGCCTTTTTATATCTGTCAGGAAAACATTAAAAGTGCTTTATGACATCTGTGCCAACATTTATATCCACCCCCCCTCCCCACTCCCTCAACCCCTACACACACACACCCACCATAATGATCCCTGCGCATAATGTATAATGTATTTCGAAAAATTACACGAAACAAATTAAATGAGACCACCTTTCCCCTGATTGCCAAACGTCTCCCTGGGCGGTGGGAAGCTCTACGTGATTAGAAGGCCTGATTCCTCCGAGTCCCCCCNNNCGCCCCCTCCCTCCACTGTCTTTAAACTCTCCCTCTGTTTCTAGGGAGAAAAAATAATCTAATTTTCCATTTATGTAATGCAAACCGCCTTGGCTTTGACTATTCACGGTTAATTGACTGTCAAACGAGGTTGTTATCCTCGGGCACTGTCTGCAAATTTGCTTGTCAAATGAGACAGAGAGAGGAGAGGGAAGGAGAGAGGAGAGCTCTCTCTGCTCTAAATGAGAGAGATAGAGAGAAGCATGGGCTTAAGCAGCCGGGATATGAAATGACTGGAGGAGAGAATAAACATATCGAGTGTGCTGGATCGCTTCATTTAAGGCGCACGATGCCTATTTGTCACAATTCAGACATGAAGCGCAACACACACGCATACCAGCAGAAGAACAATATAGAAACGTTCAAACTGTGGCAGTGGAAAACACTACGAGATAAAGATGTTTGTTAAAAAGGCAGATGAACAATTGTGAAGTTTTACCTCAACAAGTAGATTCCTTCAGCAAAAGAAAAGCTTTACAAATATATAAAATATGCATCTATACAGTATGTATATGTGGCATATTATAATACAGTTGTACTATACTAATGCAGTGTTCATAGCCACTAGCATTGGTAAATAAAAACACATTTTGACATCACATGCAACAGTTTGAGAGCAGAGTAAGCTCCAAGCTACGCTTTATTTTTATGCATTTTTTTTATTTCTTGCCAAATTGATGGAAAGGCCCTTAAAGTACCTTTTCAGCACAGACCTTTGCTTCATTTTCACAAGCTACAAAATCATTTACTCTAATTCCAGAATGTTCTGTTTCTTAATAGAAAGCCATATTATCTGACAGCAATAAGAGATTGAACAGTGCACTAAAGGGCTCCTTCAGGCTGCCAAGCACAAGCTTACACTGACATCTAGAGGACAAAGAGTGAACTACAGGGCTGTGTTGAAGAGTCTGGGCGGGAAGAAGGGTTAACACACTTATAAATAAAGTATCAATAAAGATCTAGATGGCAATACATTACAATGTGACTCTGGTATGTGTTGCATTTGAAATATAGTAGTCTCTGATGCTTAAGGACGGGAACACATTGGATATGCTATGTCTGTCATATGTCATTGTGCACGTAAAACAAAAATCTAACATGAAGTCTTTCCGTGTTTTAGGTGATCAAAGCCGAGGTTCTGCCTCTCCTGTGGTGCTAAAGAAGGACGTGGAGAACATGGAGAAAGGTAAAGAATGTTCATTTGAGTCACCAATATCCAAGGAAAACATTCAGAATCAGAAAAAGGTTCAGTGCATTGTAGGTTTTCACCTAGAAGCCGTTGGTGTTGTCACATACAATTAAGATATTAAAAGAAAAACAAGTTAATGTACAAGGTCAAGAACACAAATATACAAAAGAACATCTATACAAAAGAAATGAACAATACACACAATAGAAAACAGTACGACAGATATGTACAACATGACAGCTTAGAGACGGATTTAGCTCCCAGGTGCAAAGCTAACACATCTGGTAAAAGTCCAAATACCTATTCATTTATAAGTCACTACAATATATGCAGTATTTAACCCCACTGCAGAATACTCTATTTGAGCTTCTTTTTTCATTTGTCTCAATTGTAATATATAGTTTACTTATTTCTGCATTTTGCTTGCACAAATCTCTTGTACAATTTCATTTCTTATATTATATATTAAGTATATTGTACGTTGCATTGTTGGAGGTGCACATTTTGATTGCCAAAACGTAGCTAATGTGCATGTTTAAAAATAAGCCTTTGAATCTTGACTCATAAATCTCCTCTCTTTCTCTTCTCCTCCTCCTCCTCCTCCTCCTCCTTCAGAGGAGCTCCAGAAGGTTCTGCTGGAGCAGATCGACTTCAGGAGGAGACTGGAGCAAGAGTTTCACGCTCTGAAGGGCACCTCACCATTTCCTGTCTTCCGTAAGTCTATTTGTCACATCATTCAAGGTCAACGTGTCCTTCTCTGTCTTTCTGAGGTTCCCTTTCCCCCCTTGCTCTTATCTTTTGTCTTTCCTTTGTCTTTCTAAACCTCCTTTATCCTCCATCGACTGTTTTATAATAACTTTACTTGATCAGTTTCTCAAATGATAATACTGCTCAGGCTAATCATAGATCCTAACGCTCATTTCAGATAATTTCCAAGACCAGATGAAAAGAGAGCTCGCCTACAGAGAAGAGATGGTCCAACAGTTACAGATGGTAAGACTCCTAATGATCCAATCAGCTCTGAGCACTGATGGAAAGGAAATATCATTGCTGCGCCTTGAGACGACAAATAAAACTCCCATTTATGGATAGATGGAGTTTAAAAAGCCTCGCTGTTTGCTTTGAAAAACAATCTTGGTAATGATTTTTCAAAAGGAATATAATTAAGGCTAATTATGAAGCACTTTTCAGTCAAATATAGTTACACAGTTTGAACAGCGAATGAAGAAATCAAAAATGAATAAGGAAATGTGACGATAACAGCCCAATCAACACTAGACTGTAGACATGAATAACAAATCCAAACCTATGTCTTAAAACTAAAACTGAATGAAACAAAGAATAACTAAAGCCATCAAAAGGGATCAAGTGGACACTTCTCCTATGGCTCCTTTGTCCGTCAGACGACAGAACCAATCATGTAGTTTGTCTTTCACGGGTGATAAGTTCCTCTGTTTCCGTCCACATCAATCAGCGCAGCAGCTGGCAGACCGGCTGACAGACGCTGTTTGTCTTTGCTTCCTGACACAACTGCACACGCTCGTATGCACATGATCGCAGACCTCGCTCCGAACACACACAACCAGAGCAGGCTGCGCTCATGTAGCCACGAAGGCAGACGGAAACATTGCAGCTCATTTATAAGCATGCACATGCAGCGAAAACACGTCGAAAACTGACTAATGTGTCGAGAAGCAGCAGATGGATCTGTCTGAGAGTAATGACACATTCATTTCACACAGACATTCCAATGAACTCTAGCAACATTTTAGATTTATGTTACTGTGTTATCATTTCATAATGTTGGTTGGATTTGACACCTTAGCCGTCTGGCACAGAGATTCATATTTCCCTTTAAAGGGGCCCCATTATGCAAATCTCCAGGTTCATATGTGCAGTTTGTGCTTCTACTGTCACATGTGTACATACTTTAATGTTCCAAAAGTGCTTTATTGTTCTCCTACTGCATGTGTTTCCAAATGTTGTTCAGCCTGGATCAATCTAAAATGTTGTCTCTGAATCTTCTTCCCTTCAGATTCCCTACGCAAACATCATCAGAAAAGAGAAGATCAGCTCCCATCTCAACAAATAGCTAAAAGGTCATTTTTACTTTCATTCATTTCAAAATACCGCTTATTAATAAAAACAGTATCAGCACGGTGTATGTCAAATGAACATTTCATTATTTATAACACAAAGCAGCGAGAGTAAGTTCAGCAAGTTTAATTGCCTTTGTATAGTTCTGATAGTGTTTTGGAAACTAGACCACTAGGCTGTAATCAGCCAATTAAACTGGGTTGTTTGCTTTAAAGGGATTATTTCATGGCAAATTGTGAAATTAAAATACATTTTGGTGCTTAATTTGATTGACAATAACTTATCCTGGTCTAGCAAAAAGACATACATAAGTATATACACATTATTCTTTGAAAAACACTAATCCAGAACATGACACTAATTTGAGTTTCTATGTATTTACTTTCTTCACAGGCAGAATCAACAATGAGAAGAAGACTGCCTGGATTTCTGTGAATGTCCCAAGAAGAAAAAAAACAGAGAAATATACGGGAGAGACCCAAACAGAATACGACTGAATATATTATATAAATACATTTCTTAAGTTCTCTTGGACATTTGTTTTCTTCTGCCTTTGTTATTAGCCCTGTTCAGTGAAACACTTTAGAAGTAGCTGATAAAAGCTGCTTCTCCCTGCCTCCAGTTCATTTCCCAAACTGACTGAACTCAAATGGGCACACACTGGCGACATTAGGGGGAAAAGGGAACATCAAAGCTTCACCCAACCCGGACCAAAGCAACCACAACCCATCTCCTCTTTTGTGAGTTTTAGAGCCGTGAAAAACAAACTGTGAACTTTTCCAAGCTCCGAAAGACGAAGAGGGCAGAGTCATAGCAACAGTAAGACTGTGTTATTGTCCATGACTGCTGCTGGTCCAACTGTACATACATCAGACTGTGGACAAGGACGGACTTCTAACATTGATGGATCAGATTGGGACCCTTGAGAGAAAACATTTGGTCCCAAAGGGATTCTCCTCATCATGTCCAGTTGTGTTCATTGACCCAAACCAACGTCTCATAGTTACCCTGATTGTCAGCATGTCCCTAAAGAGGTCAGATGTTGGTGGTGATTTCATGCGCCATCCTTTACTCCGTTAGATATTACTAACTTGAATATGCCAGATGAAGAACAAGGGAGAAAATGAAATAAGTGTTTTTGGGTTTTAAACCTAAAGAGAGAGCAGTATTAAATAAAGGGCAGCATCACGTCACGCTTTAAGCAAGAGGTTTACTATTTGGGGAATGCACAAAAACCTACAGTATTATTTTCAATGCTGACATTTTTCACCTTTTATTTAAACAGGAAGTTAGCTCAAAACAATATCCTGTGTCACATCCACAGCTCAGAAGCCTTTTTACTGTTTTATTTGTTAATCCTTTCCTCAAAATGAACCGTGAAGATCTAGCCCTCCGAACAAATGTTTTTAACACCGATCCACGGGCAAGGTAACGTTACCACCATCAGCTAAAGGATGGGGTGTTGTCAGATGGTTACAACGACAATTAAAGGCCAATCCCTGGTTTCGTGTTTGCTCTCCAAATGAGTATCCGGGACACGAGGAGCAGAAGGCTGGCGTGTGTCAGGGTTGTACATCTACCTGTAAATGATTTGATCTGACTGTATACAATGTCAACGTGAGATTACTGAGCCTCACAGTGAGCCTATATATATGTGTTTGTTTGTTTATTTATTTGAGTACCAGGGCCTAAGACCCTGATTGTGAACATATTATTTATTATAATGTCAAAAAGAAAGAAATGTGTTGATGATGATCAAGTGTGTGTCACAGGGATCACACATGAGAACTCACCCACCTTGTTTATAGAATGAATGAATGGATAAAGTTGTCCTTTACTGAGAGAAATGTTATCATTATAAACTGTTGATGCAGATGTATTAAAATATGTTCTTGTAGTTTCTCTACTATTTATGTGTAAATTAAAAGTCTATACAATAACTGGACTGTGGCTTCATGATTTGCGGTTCATGGAAATCAAATCATTTTCATGTTTCATACTGCATGCTAATGTGTGATAATACAGGCTGGACCATCTCCTAAATTAAGAAAATATATGATATAAAACACGAGAATTTGTAAAAAGAAGACGCATATACGATACACACAAATGAAATAAAGGGAAATAACAGATGTCACAACAGCGGCACAAGTCATTTGACAATGATTATATGAAACAAAATATTTGTTTCAATATTCAATTATTTTTGTATGACTTTATTAGTCAATTTTCATTAGAAGAAAAGAGGACAAATATATCATAATTAAAAAATACATGTGTGCCTATATAGCCTATTTTTTATTATTTAGATTTTAGGGAAGATGCATAGTTAGGGACACATAATAATTAAATATGACCTGTTTCCCCCATTAATACATGTGTTTTTAAACGACTACTTTGAAACAAAAGTTCCGTTAAGACCGAAGTACTTATTATTTGCTCGTTCCCGTTTACTACTGTTTCACGACGTCCGCAGCCTCTTTACGGCATCTACATTTTTGGGAGTGGTGGACGCAGAAGAAGAAGGAGGAGGAGGAGAAGTTGCCAGCATGGCGTTTACACTGTACTCTCTCATCCAGACAGCTATTCTGTGCACTAATGCAGTCGCTGTGTTGCACGAAGAAAGGTTTCTCAGCAAGTGTAAGTATCCTTTTTTGTTTAAATCATGCATTTTTATAAAAATACGATGTTTACGGTGCTAAAAACAGCTAGCTAAGTGTGTGACGTTACATCATTATCAGCTGCCTATATTATACACAGCCTTTTGTTCTAACATTGAATCGGATTATGTTGGGATTTTTAGGCAGAAGTTTGAGGTTTGTTCATTGGAGAGAAATGTTTAGTGTTGAATAATATAATTTAGCCATTCTTAAAGCTACTAAAGGTAACATTTATGGAAAAACTTAATGTTAAAGGAGTCCTTGTCCTTTTATGCAAATGTACACGTTCATCATTATATGTTGTGCCTTTACTGTGACATGTCTCCATGCTTTTATGTTCAAAAAGCTCTTTATTTTTCTCATACTGCCTGTGAAGCAGCACCTATTTTCACCCTCTCTCTGAAACCAGAGCCCAGTCTGCTCTGATTGGTTAGCTGGCAGGCTCTGTTGTGATTGGTCAATTGTTTAGAGAAGTCTCATCCCTTAGCCTATCACGTACAATTTGTTGTAGCGCTAGCCAATATAAGTTGTACACAGTGATGTTATTTTTTAATGAAGTAAACAATGGAGTCCAAATGAATGTTTCAGTCCCTCTAGGGAACTTTAAGCCATCACAGACCATTTACATGTTGAAACACCTATATGAAACCACAAAAGGCATGTTAGGGACGATTTTAAAAACAAATACATTTGCTGTTGTGTTTTATTCTCTTCTAACCAATTGCTTCATCCTGTTTCTTTTCTCTTTTCTTTACTTTCCCCTCTGTTTCACCCCATTTGCTCCTCGCTGTCTTCAGTCGGCTGGGGGGTCGACCAGGGAGTTGGAGGTTTTGGGGACGATCCAGGTGTCAAAGCTCAGATTCTAACCCTCATCCGCTCGGTCCGCACTGTCATGAGAGGTAAGTAAGCTAGTTTACATAGGAAAACATAGATTCCACCTTCTAAAATATAAGAAAATGTTGAGTGAATGATATATTTAGTCGTGCTGTGTATCATTTGAAAAGATCAGATTCAATGAAGGCCTGACCTATAGAAACCTTATTGGACCCCAAGTTGAAAAAAACAAGAACATTCATGGATAAAAAACAATGAAAGCACTACATCAGCCAAATATTTTTGTTTTAAATCAGGAAATAGCAAATTACAGAATTCGTAAGTTACCTAATTGTTGTTGGGGTACTTGTATTTGGTAGGCAGCCCTAGCATTCACGTATTTTCTAAGGGTTGAGGATTCTGCTAATTCTTTGTCTTCTCTTTTTTCCATAGTGCCTTTGATAATAGTGAATACAGTCTGCATTGTCCTCTTGTTACTCTTCGGTTGACGGCGGTACACTGAGCACCAAAATGAAGCCAGAGGACCAGACGTGCCAAAGAACAACCAAAAACTTAAACACAGAGAAATATCCATCAGTTAGAGACTTTGCCAGGCATCAGCAGAGTGACGAACGGCATGGAATTAGAAAAAACTTAAACATTTTACACCCAAAGACAAGATGAAACAACCCAACCACAAGTCACAGAAAGTGTGGCCTAAACACCAGGACTAACCCTGACCTCACCTGCGTGTCAGTGGGACACAAAGAGGACACAATGGAAATAATTATTCATCATATCGCCACTTTGTGTTTCATTGTGTGTTTGTCCTCGTTTCAACACTCCGCGATACAATGGTTTAATTATAATGTATGTTTTATCATCTTGTTACAAACGATAATGTAAAACAGTGTTTACAGCAGTAGGGCTTGACAATATGTAAAAAAATGAGGTGCCATTTTTATTTATTTCAAACTGGAAGTAAGTTTTTAGGGTGCCAACTTGTATTTCAGGATTTCATTCTGATAGTTTTAAAGTCCAAAACCTACTTGGCGTTTCATAGGTGCAGTATACAGATTTTACACAAACAGTCAGACAAATGTTCTGTGATTTATCCGTATGTAAAATGTGGTTAAATGTTTTAATCTAGATTCTAAGCAATGCTGCCAAACGCAGCTCAAAACAATCCACATTTGTACTGTTTACACATCAATTCCCTCTCAATGCCACAAACATTGTAATAGTAATGAGATGTTTTTTTTGTCTTGAAATAAATGTATTATTCAATTCTTTACATTTTCTTTTTTTTCTATCATACATTTGTTTTCACTTTAGTCAGAGTATTTTAAGGACACCTCTCTTCAGTTTGACATACACATATAATCCACACGTGTGTCCATCCATCCCTGCTCCACTTCATTGATAATCCACATATGTTGTGAATTATCACCCTTTCCTCTGCCACGAAGCTGCACAAATATTTGTATGAACACTACTGTAGATTCTAAGTACGTGGGAGAGGGGATCTGCTGGAATTAGTAGCATATGTTTGTCAAAGAGATTTTCGCAGTAAAGCCACTTTGATCTGTGATTAGTTGGAGTTTAGCGGTGGGTTCACAGTGACATCTGTAAGCGATCATGCGTGAATATGGATCTGCACTTCACAGGTCAGGATGTTTGGGGATTTTCAATGATAAATAATTCAAATGTTGTTTTGACCCTTTAGCTTGTGTGTGTGACTTGTTACTTTTATGATTTTATGGGTATTTTACATGTATTATAAGGAGTGAAACAAACGGGAAAATGGGAGAAAGACGACATGACATGCAGCAGAGGGTCATGGGTAAGATTCAAAACTCGAAGATATGTTGACTTTAATTCTAGAAAGACATCTTCAACATTAACTTGAAAAAAAGGGACTTAATTTTTTTAACGTTACAGATAAACATGAGCTATTTTAAATCTTTACAATTAAGACAACTCAATTAAGTGTATTGGTTTTAGACTTGACATCCTCAATGTCTGTCCACCAGAACAATACAAAAAAGCAGCTTGTTATATTTTGAATAAATATGGATAAAAGTAAGAATATGTAAAATATGTAGTGCGTTCACATTTTATTTCCTTACTCACAGTTGTGGAACAGACAAAGGGACTGTTGGCAAACGTTTGATAACCAAAAGAGAGACAGGTGTATTCCCAACACAAGCATCAAAAAAGAAAAAGTTAAAAAAACAAATCCAGAAAATTAACATTTAAGCATTTTTTGTATATATATATATATACTGTATAAGAAGGGATTTAAAATATGTTAATTTAGATATTTTGTCTGAACAAAACATTCATAGTGTCGGATTAGTTTTCGTGTTTTCCCAGTTGATGGGCTGCACAATATTTTTGGGAGGAAAACTCCAAAACAACACTGGGAAACAGTTATTCAATGGATGTATGAAAGAGGATTTGATCTGTGCTGTCTGGCATACGGCGGAGAGAAGGTTGTTGCCGTTTTTGATAATACCTCCCACCATATTAAATCTGAATGCCCTTAAAGAACCACTAATGCAAAACATCTGTTGGTTGTTAGTGGGACGGGATACATATGTTTTTTTATTATTATTCTAATGAGTGATTAAGTGGTTAAGGATAACCCTCTTATCTGATCATAACATATATTATGAATTGGGGGGGAAATAATCATAATAGAGATAAGAGGTAGTGATGTAAAAAAGTGCTATTAAAAAAAAATGTTTTTCCAAAAATAAGAGCTACAAAAATATAAAAACATACGAAAAATAAATTACAGAGAATATGCTGTTGCGGTGTTGAGCCGGAAGGGTTCTGAAGGCACTGAGCTCACAGAGACGAAACTCCACTTTACACCAACGAAGAAGAAACCAGGAAGTCGGGGGAGAGCTGTTGCTAAAGGTTAGCTTTGCAGTTTGCTAACTTTCTTCACATGTACTCAGTTATTAAGACATTTTGCAGTTAAAAACACAACGTTTTGTATGAGCAGTGACATCGGAAAGTGTGGAGATGAAGTAGTGGACATTAAAAGTTTAATCTATCGGTTAAATAAGCCCCTTTTTACATGTTATCCTTCATTCAGGGGAGCAGGTCCAGCTAGCATCTAATACTACTTTTAGCTGGTTATCTCACTTGATAAGTGCTGGTTGTTATGTTACAGCCTATAGTTACAGCTGATACAACCTCAGTGCAATGGAGATGATTTAAAAATAATAGTAATTAAAAAATAAAACCATGATTATGATTCAAGACTCACCTACAATTATAATAAAACACAAACAGTTCCCTAAATAAATAAGAACAACTGCATTACACATAGTGTTTATTTCAGTTTAAATAATATATTTTAAAATAATATTCTTATATTTTCTGTTCTTTTTTGTTGTTCTTACTGTCTGCCTCATATTATAATTTATCGACACAACCTGAATGAACAATTAATGTAACAGTGAATATTAATAAATACACACATCGCATAAAAGATAGTTCAATAAACATGTACAAACTCAGAGGTAATTGTTGGAAAATTGTGAAGCTTGTTTAGTTTAGCCCTGTTTTCCCCTGCACACACACACACACACACACACACACACACACACACACACACACACACACACACACACACACACACACACACACACACAGACAGAGCCTTTTACTTTGACACTCCCCTCCCAGCACGCTTTTCTGATATTATTGGAGCTCAATACAAATAAGAGAGACATGACCTACAGGCTGTACGTTTTTTTTTTTTGGTGAGCGTATTAAGATCATTAATTGTACCCTCACATTGATAACTACACAACAGAAATCCGAACATGTCTAAATAATAGGGGATCACACATAAAATACAATCCTAAAATCTGTGTTTTAGGCATGATGTCACGAACCGGTCAATAATCCTCTCAGTCGGTCCTGATGTAGGTTTGAACAACGCAGTAATCTGATCAATTCTGCCACTACCTATGTGAATTATGATTATGGAGGTATAATCGCTCAAATAAAATATGAAAGAATAAGCTTTTTTAAACTGAGTAAAGCTCCATTTACAGCGGACCTTGGTCCTACTTAGCGGTTTAGAAAATCGTAATCGGAGCAGCTCTTATCTAACAGCGTAAAACTGATAACAGATTTGAAACACTATTGATAATGTGGCTGTTTAATGTTCAGTCAAGTGAGTGACAGTCCAATTTTAGGAGGAGGATTATTTGTACCATTGTTATGTGAGTGAATTTAGCTAAACAGTATAGCAATAAAGCTTGAGACAGAACTTTTTCTTTGTTTTGTCTTTGCTCAAAATACAGGACATTTTCTTTACAGGCGGTATTAGTAAAAAGAAAACAACAAACATGGCGTGTCGTATGCCTTAAACCAGTGGTGAATGTAGGAAAGTACATTTACTCAAGTACTGTACTTAAATACAATTTTGAGGTACTTGTACTTTACCTTCTATTTAGTATTTTTTGTTTTGTAATACTTTAGACTTTTACTCCACTACAGTTATTTGACAAACATTCATTACTAGTTACTTTACATATTCAGATTATTAGCCAATACAAAACTCAAAATTGATAAATAATAATTGATATATTCTATGTTTGTATTATAGTTATAATTATAATCCAATAGTTTCATATGATTATGTTTACTTTTGAAACGTTAAGGATATTTTGATGTGAATACTTACCTTTACTTAAGAACTATTTTGTTTGCACTAAAATTAAGTATTGCTACTTTTACTTAAAAGTGACCTATCATGCAAAATGCAATTTTGTACGTCTTTTATACATGAATATGTGTCCCCGGTGTTCCAGGGAACTCACCAAGTGTCAGAAAACACAACCCTCTCTATTTTCCTCCATACCCAAATCTCTTAAAAAGGGACTGCAACGGATCTGATACAGACTGATCCAGATTTGAACACTTCTATGGCGTCACAAAAGTGGCGCTAAGGCTATTGGGCCAACTCCACCAATCAGGAGGAGTCAGCCACGGACATTGCCATTCGAAAGCGCTGGAGACGCTGTAGTACATATGCCAGGCCTGTAGATGGTGCTGTTCTCACAGAATCAGCCCATCAGCAGGATCTGTTAGCTTTTCTTTAAGATAGATAGGTACTTTATTGATCCCAAATTGGGGAATTATTTAGTTTCAGCAGTGTGTTCAGGCATTAACATCCTTAAATCTTTAAGGTGGAAAAAAGTATAAACATAATAAAATGATATGGAATAAAATTAAAATTGTTAGGAAAAGATCACTCGTCACCGGCTTGAGCTTCAATATCAGGATACATGTATTTATGATCCTCTCAAGAATGGAAGTAGTCATCACACACAGAGCATTTGGGACAACCAGTTCCCATAACGGTGTCCTTGACATGCTTTATATACAAGAGAGTGTTACAGTCACAAGATGGAGAATACCGGTTCAAAGCAGTATTCAATGTTTGGTTTAGTTTAGCTAAGGCCCACGTCAGAAATGATCATGCTTGTCACATGTCCATCTCCATAAAGGCTGAATCATCATGTTAATCGTTGTCACATAACTATCATATTCCTAAAACAGTGTGTCCTGACCTGACGCTCTTCTCATACATCCTGTTACGTACACAGCTACGTAGGGCCTTTGTTATCATGTGCTACTCTGATATTAGAAGAGAGCATTCAGTATTTTCCAAACACAAATAATCTGATTTTGATTTTACATGAACAAAAAGAAAAGGGTGTCACCAGAGCCACCTCCTCTCTCTGCTTCCCTAGAATGACTAATATCTACATGTATATTTTCTACTTCTACATATATATTTTCTATTTTATTATATTTCTATTCTTGTTTGTTTCTAGTTTTGTTTTATTGTAAAATGCCTTGTCTGTTATGCTGCCGCAACAAAAACAATTTCCCAAATTGGGATCAATAAAGTACCATCTTATCTTATCTTTACGTGCTCTGCAGGTCTCCATCATGGCGGGCCGACGCGCTCTGAAGGCGGTGCTCATCGACCTGAGTGGAACTTTACACATTGAGGACACGGCGGTGCCCGGGGCGCAGGACGCCCTCAACAGGTAGGAGAGATCGCCCAAATAGAAATGAAAAATGCTCATAACATGTTTTGGTATTCCAGCTTGGAAAACACCAGAGGTAATGAAGTAGAAGATTTTGTTGTATTCCTAGCATACGATAATAAAACAAATCTACTTGGAATCGTTTAAAACATGATAACCTCATAAACAACAAATCAAAGGATCCTGTGAAATATGTTTTTATTATATTATGTAGTAGAGAAAGAACATGAATGAAGTCATGGATATGTAAAAAATAGTAGAACAAAAATCATAACGTTCTCATGGGGGCATTCTCCCCATGGAGAATGTTATGATTTTGTGTCTTCTAATGTCCCTGTACTTTTTTTTATATAGACAAAAGTATTGGGACACTTGATTCGTTAGGCGGAGGAGAGATAATGCTTTGGGGTTGTTTTAGTTCTGTGAAGCAATATAATCTGCCTTGCATGGCACTAACAATGTTGAGGATGTGGTTTTGTTTCATGGACTTCACGTTGCTTCAAAGTGTCTGCTGAGAAGCATTTACATTACTGCACTACTTCCTGTGAAATACATTTGAGTGGTTCAAAACTTTGGGTCGCGATTTATTGACAAAGGAAAACAGTGGGTCCTGAGTCTTGACCAGTTGAGAACCACTGCTATAAACAGGGGGTTCCTCATTTTCTTCATTCTTTTTTTCTGGTTTGTTGATTATGTTATGAATTATATATCTTTACATGTATTTAATTAGGTTATGTATGCCCAGTAAAGATATCATTTATTAAAATGAAATGTAAAATGTTGCTATTACCTTCTGTTATTATGGTTTCGTGTGCTTTAAACTTGAAATGTTTGCTTGTGTGTCGCGGTGCCTTCAGGTTACGGCAGGCGTCTGTCGATGTGAAGTTTGTGACCAACACCACGAAGGAGAGCAAGAGGAGTTTAGTGGAGAGACTGCAGCGGCTCGACTTCCACGTCCAGGTAGAACTTCCAAACACAGGTTTCATTTATTCAGAACCAGGTTTATTACCAAGTGACTTTACACAGACAAGGAATGTGCTGTGGTGTGAAATGCTGCCTACATACATAAACACAGTAAGAGGACTTGGGTCGACATGTTGAAAACTATTATCTTAAAAGAAAATGAAATGTAAATATATCAAAAAAGTTACTTTGAAAAATGTGTTTTTTAGAATGTATGTGAAAGAACTGAGAAGAAATGTGCACATGCTTTAATGTGAGCTACTTCATGAAGAGATCAACTCTTTATTCCCTGACTTTTATTTTTAAAATGAACCTAACTGTGTAGGAAAAAGAGATCTTCACTTCGCTCAGTGCCGCGAGGAGTTTGGTGGAGCGGAAACAACTCAGACCGCTGCTGCTGCTGGAGGACAGCGCTCTGGAAGACTTCACAGGTGTGTGAGTGAGGCCCAATCCCAAACCACACCCTACACCCTACACACACTCCCCCTCTGTGACGGAGTGAACTCTGTGGAGTGACACATGAGGCTCCCTCCTGTCAGATGGAGGGATTAAATACAGCCAGCTTTGGGACGGCCTCCCCTCTCTCCGGCAGAAACAGGAAATGCCGTAACTGTATGTAACAACGGTTTCAAATCAGCATCTGTTAGACAAAAAATGTAAATTAATAACTCAAATAAAACTCCAAATGTCTTTTAATTGTGTTACTTTTTTGTAAAGCTCTTTTAGTTTTAAACCTGATGTTTATAAGCTTCTTAGTTTTTGCAACAATCTGTAAATATACACAACTTTATAATAAAATGCACACATTTAACTTTGTATAGACTAACCACAGGTCTACGATCCTAAGTTAAACACATA